CAGGGATGGGGAAACTACGGCCCGCGGGCCAACTGTGGCCCGCCGGAAGATTTTATCCGGCCCGCGGATAGAATTTTTATTTGCCGATCAGTGGCAAATATAAACAATATACATCCATTTTCTTATCGACTACGTTTAAAATTATTTCTGCTTTTCCTTTTTTAACAAAGTACTGATGACACTTTTACTTTCTCTATTTTTGTTCTACAAAACATAAATTGATGGAAATAGTTAGCGCAGACAGCTTCAATTGGTAAAATGTTGAAAGCAGAAGTTCTTTATAGAATAGCCGTAGATTGGCTCCAACTAGCGTTTGTCTTTCTCGAGGAGCTGACTTATGGAATCTAATATAGGTAAATCGTACTTCACATTTGGCAGACTGCGCATTTTACGCTCCAATCTAACAATCATCTGAAGCAGTTGTTTCTAAATATGCCAAAGTTTTGCGAATCATTACCAAAAGCTAGTTTCCAAAATTTAATATTTCATGCCCAGAAGTCAGTGCTATGTTTGCTTAATCTTATCTATGTGAACAAGAGTTTTCAACTATGAACCTTAGAAAAATTCATTTCACAAGTAGGCTAACAGAAAAGCATTTAGCCTTTAGCATTAAAATAAGCACATCTCACTTCCAACCTTAATATAAGCAACTTTTAAAAATGAAATCGCAATTTCCATCATCTCACTAAATATTTAAATTAAAACTTGTATATCGCTTTTTTTTTTTCAATTTTGAAGTTTTTACTTGACGCACCAAAATTTTTTTTTCTTGATTTTTGGCCCTCGACCAAAAAAGTTTGCCCATCCCTGCCATAACCGGTAAAATGACCGTTTAAGAACTTCTGCTTCGAAAGTGCGCTTATCATCTTATCGTTTTTGCACATTTGAATTCATGACTTTTCTAATAATTATATACAGTTTATATTCTATGATTATTTGTTTTTTTTTGTATTTTGTTTGTTTCGAATAATACTTGTCGCATACCTATTTTTACCACAACCGGCCATTTGACCGGGAGAACAATTTATTGCTTTATAAGGTTATCTGATCAGAAATTACTATGGAATGCGTGTTCAACGTATTGATACTATTAGTTGCACATTTTTGCGAAGACTGTTGCTTATTTAGCTCAATCAGAATAACTGTGAACTCAAATTTCAAGAAAGTACCTAACATTTTAGATTAGCATTTTTGTGTAAGAAAAAGTGACAATTATAATTCTTATATGTTCTTATAATAATAAGAATAATTATAAGAATTATAGAAATAATAATAGGCAGAGGAAATAAGTTTGCGGAAAATGTACAGTGGAAACACCCTGTATATGTAGAAAGTGCGTTGAGCAATGAATTAAAAATTCTTATTCTTTGTGTTTGTAATACATAACAATTGGCAATACACAATTTTGCTGAATTATAATAAAGTTTTTTTAAGTTTATTTCCTTCCTAACATCCATATTACATAAAGTTCTGTCATTTGACCGGCTATGGTAGAAATAGGTATATATTAAGTACTGGTATGCTTAGTGTAAAAGAAATTGGAACAGTTCAAAAAATTGTGTTTAAAAAATGGATACAGCTGAAAAAAAGTGTTTAAGGAAATGGGCATGACTCAAAGAAGCGTGTTAAAAAAATGGGAACAGCTCAAATAGAAAATGAACCATCCAAGAATAACTTGGTTTGTTGAAGTAGTTGGATGATTACGTAAAAATTCTGTTGTAGAAGTTGATTGATGTATTGACCATAAGTTGAAGAAGATGTTGGTAGGTGTATTTTCAACTGTCCATATATTATTCCAGTGTGATGTCGGCAAGAGTGATGCAGATATTAAACAATAGGAACAGCTTTAATGAAGAATTAAATTCGATAGTTAATAAAAATTTATTATTTCAGAAATAAGGAATCCTATGGAGTTCCAAAGTAAAAAAAATATTTCATTTTTGTGTATATGTAAGTTAATAAATTTAGAAAATTGTCCGGAGGGTGCGGCTGCTGGTCTAGGCCCATCAGGTGAAGGCCCATCATCTACCATGAAATCAAAAAATGCGAGTGTCATATGTACGCAAGCATAGTTTTCGCCAAGAAAAGTTAAGGAATCCATGTATTGGCTATTAATTGATTAAATTTAATGCCAAGGTACTTTTTCTTAGCTTACACATTCAAATGCGTTGGCGGGAAAGAAAGCGTGAGATATAACAGAGAAACATGCAACGGTTTTCGAATTCTATGCTAATGTGTTGGGCAGATGTAGAGGGAATCTCTAAAAATAGATTTTTTTCTGCACTCAACTAAAGGTTGAAGCATTAAAAGATTTCAGATTAAATTAATGATTTTTATTAATTGAACAAGGTTTAAATAAGATAATAATTTGGTTTTTAAAACACTAGGAAATATGTTATGCATATTTCAGTATGACATAACCACAGCTCAAGAAGCTGTGTCCATATGTGTTTAAAATAGATTATTTCTCTAAATTGAAAAATAGAAAAGGTTTGAAAATATGCAGTTGGAAGACTGTATTGAATGCACAGAAATTCTAACTTTTAATTGCAATTTTCTTCAAAAATGACGGAAATGAAACAAAGATAAATGCATAAAAAATGAACATGATTAAAATTAAGAAGATAAACGTCTAAAAAATTCGTTTTCTAAATTATTTTAACCATCGTTGTTTATCCACTACAGAGCATTTCGTTAAATGGAGAATATTTAATTGTTATTTAACGTTTCGATTAAAATTTTCGTCATAGAAAGAAATTAGCTGTAAGAAAACTTTGTTATGGAGAAATTTGACATATTTAGGTACATAATTAATTTATAAAGCAAATTATGTACCCTAGGGCTATCACTGTTTCCAACTATACTATTGCAATATGCAAAAAAATATTTCTTTCTCTGATTTCGTTTGACATTTAGAGTGAAAATTTATAGTGGACTTATAGGTGGGTCCACAGACAATTCACTATAGCGAGCTTTATCATTTTACGTGCGAATACCAAAAAGGTTGCATCAAAAACACTATTTATTGTTAAGATAGTTAACAAAAATGAACTCTTAATTATTCATTTGTTCATTTTTTTTATGTGTCAAAGTTGAAAAACATTTATGATGATAACTATTGAGATCCCGTAAACCAGCGATTCCGAAATGGTGTTTCACAAAACTCTAAGGTTCCGTGGAAATGTCAAAGAAATTCCGAGAGCAAGGACTTTTTTTTACCAGTTGTGATTTTCGAAACATGCAATTCAATTTAAGTCTAATTAATTTTCCTTTATTTATTAAATATATATCTGTCATTCTAAGGAAATAATTAAATTAAAATGCCTGCAAGGGAAGAAATGCCTAATTAAAAGTGTTTTTTTTTCTTCTAATCACAAAGTTTAGAAAGATTGAAGCTTCATGAAAAGGAATTTCATGACGGACTTCATTTGCGCATCGAGTAAAAATAACCATCACCAAGTATTTTTCTTTGATAATCATTCTTAATGTTTTTTTTTTCGTTTTAATTCTAATGGAAACCATACATCTGTTCTTTCAATTTCCGCTTTCATCAAAGTAGGAACTAGACAAAAAAAGAATCAATTTAAAAGCTAGACAAGGCGGCGCTCCAGTCCAGTGAATTCAACTTTAAGGACGTAAAATTTAATTTTAAGACTATTCTTAAAACGATCTGACGAAAACATTTTATTCTTCATTTTTTCACTAAATGTTTTAAAATAGTTAATAAAATTTCAATCATTTAATATTTTCAAAATGATAAATAGTTTCCGTTGAATTATGTTCACTATTACTAAAGAAATTTATTCACAAAATTTCGTGGATTCCGCTAAAACAAGGTTTATCATTAAAGGTTCCATAGCCGAAAAAATTTGGAACCGCTATCATAAACTATTACAATTCCTATTAGGATCTTATTGTGTTTTGGTAAATGAAATATATTTCTCTGAAATTCATTTAACCCTTGAATCTACTTACTTGTTTTGTAACAGCACTTAATTCCACGGCAGCATCCATTCCAGAGTTACCAACTCCAACTACAACTACACGTTGATCTTCAAATCCATCTACTTTTTTCAAGCTATGTGTATGCATTATTTTACCCTCAAACTCTTCCTGGTTTGGAAAAGTTGGAATATTGGGATAAACATGATGGCCTATACATACACATACGAAGTCAAAAATTTCTGATACTAGCTCTCCCGTTTGGGTGTTCTTATTGGTTACTTTCCAGCGTCCTGTTTTCTGAAAAAAATCAAACAAATCATAACATATATGAAATAAAAATTAATAATATAGTACGAATTTAAACTCATCTGTTGTAGTGCTAAAACGTTGTCTTTTGTTAAACACAATAGTTCTCTTTTTATACAATTTTGTTTTTAAAAATAATTCTACAGGCTTTTTAAGAGTTTAGCATTTAAAATTATGTAGTTTACAAAGATTATCAATATAATTCATAATCATTAATAATTCATAATCTAATTATTATGCAATATAATTCATAATCATTAATAATCAATTTATTATGCAATATAATTCATAATCATTTCTATCAATATTGAATTTAAATGCAGAAATTAATAAATTTTACTGAAAAAAGAACATTTATTGACTATTGATTATTACATTATATACAAAAAGGAATTTAATAATTTCGTGCAAAAATGCTTTGGTTCATACAAGTAGCTTCAATGAAGAAATAAATAAAGGTAATAATATTAGCAGATACTATCTTGGAACAGAATTCTCGATTAAGTTAATGGGTTCACAATAGCTACTTTTCGTATTTTGATTTTCAACTATTTGGATCCATGGATAGAAATGTATGTTTAATAAGAGAAAGTATTTTTTTGCTATTTTGTAACTTAATTGTAACTTAAAGTCTTAAAAGTTTGGCATTTAAAATTATGTAGTTTACCAAGATGTAAAAATTATTATGTAATATAATTCATAACCTTTTCGATAAATATTGAATTCAAATGTAGAAATTAATAAATTTTACAAAAAAAAAACATGTTTTTAACTGATTAAAATTACATTACATACAAATGTATTTAATAATTTTGCGCAAAAAAAAGCTTTGGTTCGTACAAGTAGTTTCAATTATATGAAGAAATAAATAAAAGTAAAAGTATTAACAGATTGCGACTGATTTCTTGGTTAAGCTATTAGGCTCACAATAGCTACTTTTCATATTTTGATTTTCAACTACCTGATGGATCCATCAATAGTATGTTTTATATGAAAAAGCGATTCTTGTGATTTTGTTACTTAATTGCAACTTAATTTTGTAACTTAAGTTTTGTCTTTAAATTTATGCAGTTTTCCAAGATATAAAAGCTGTAATAAAAATAATTCATAATCTTTATTATCAACATTGAACTTGAATGAAAAAATTAATAAATTTTATCGAAAAAAAGCATTTTTTGAGTGAATGAAATTACTTTATACAAATTAATTTAATAATTTTGTGCAAAAAAACTTTAGTTCATACCAGTTGCTCCAAAGATATGAAGAAATAAAAGAAGTAAAAATAACAGCAGATTTTATCTTGCTCTTGGTTAAGCTATTAGGTTCGCAATAGCTATTTTTCGTATTTTTATTTCCAACTATCTGGATGAATCGGAAGAAAAATATGAGAAATAGCTATTTCTGATTTCGTAACGGAATTGTATACATCAATAAATTAACATGAATTAGGCATGTCATTCGAACCTTGAAGATTCGGGAAAAGTGCGTGAATTTCCCATAAGATCAAAACTTATACAGGATGTTTCGTAATGACCACCCTTAAGAAGTTTCTATCCACGCCATCTTGGATTTCAGGTAAAATTTTTGATTTACGTTTCCTTGGTGCTATTTCATTACTAACTTAATAATACAGTATCATTTGATAATACAGTATCATTTGAGAGCATTTGAAAAGGGATAAAAAAAATTTCCTCCGTCCCCATCATTTTGATGGCTGTATTCGGTCGGTAAGAAACAGGCCTCGTAATTTATAGGGGAGTGCATTGCACCTTAGACCAGTGTTTTTATTTGCGCCATTTAGTGGTGCAATTTTGCTTTTAGTATTTGTGATTGATGCATGTTACAACAGGTACTAGGTGACCACTTCAAGTTTTCCAGGTATGTGCAAGAAAACATTTATTAATTTTCAGTTGTTGAGTAATTTTCTATAATCAATCCTATAATAATCAATTTGGTTGGAAGATACAACCCCACAACATTTGCTATTGAAAACAGATCTAAGATAAGTATTAAAATGTTATCTCTTTGAGATAAAATATCAATGTTATTGAAAAAAATAGTTTTGTTAGATCTAGCAAAATGAAAAATGTGTATACTTGTACGGTGGGCCTGTATGGTACCTGATTTATGAAACAGGTCCCTGTGCACTACACCATCCTCAATAAGTAAAGTTTCTTATGTTCTAACTAAACCTAAAAGATTATTTAGTATTACGTTGATTATTATTTATTTAAGCTTACAACGTACATTAAAAATAAGTTTAATTGAATAAATATCGCAATAAGTAATAAGTTGAGAAGAAAGTAACTCTGAGTTTTATTAAAGGAGAAATATCCCATGATTTCAAGTACAACACCATGTTGCACCACGGACTAATTTTTCTTACTTTAAAAAATAATTTTTCTCCAAAGTATATGACAGAATTTGTTCTTGAAAAAAATTATTTAAATAGACAAACGTAAACAAAATTCTGAGTTATTTCAATTGTTACTTTTTGTGTAAAATATTTCAAATTTGTGTAGGATACAATGTTTTTCTCTCCTCAATAAAAATGTAGTGAAAAAGTATAGTAAGTAGTTAGGAATTGTAAATGTATTTAAGATAAGGAAAAACAGAAAATAATTGAAATCGGCTCTATTACTTCTGAAGAAGGTGCGATAAAAACATAATAACAAGTTTGATGACCTGATGAAACATGTAGGTGACTAATAATCATATCTTGAACTCTTCTTTGCTGTCTTCGGTAATAAAACTAGTTTTAATGCTTTTAGTCCAGTAATGATTATTTAGATTTCTGCAGAGTTTTGTTTTTTTCCATGCTTAAATATTGTTTTGCGAAACTTAGAGTTGATACTTTTTTATTTCATTTTTTACATATATTCAAAAATTATAAAGAGAAATAAGTAATCTGCAAAGAGTGATTTATGTATTTTTGACTAACTGTATGCAATATTGTAGTTTTTATAAATTCTTAAATACAAATAACTAAAAAGAAAATACAGTTTTACCTCATAATCTTCTGCCATCTCTATCGATTTTGTCTCATGATGATAACGTACATGAGGCAGGAGACCATTTTGTTCTGCTGCTTTTACTATATATTCGTGCATTAAAGTATTGTGCATATAGTTTGGATATTCAGCTAGGGGTGGGAATGTACTCATGGCACCCAGTTCCTTACTCGTATTGATAATAGTAGTCTTCATTACTGAAGCTATTCCATCTACGTCATCATCGTGGTACCTCCAAAGTCCTCCTATATGACCTGTTCTTTCAAAGCATACTGGTTCTATACCTTCTTGCTTTAATGTTTGTATAGCCCCTAATCCACAAGGACCTCCACCAATAACAGCTGCTCTTTTTGAAACCATGGTGCCACCTTCAAAATAGTAAACACTGAGAAATAAATTTTGGTCAAAAAAAGAAATACTTGTATGGTAAAAACCTTTTTGAAAAAAAGAGAGAGAATTCTGGTAATTAGCACCGACATGAAATTTAAATCTTTCATTTGATAATTATTTCGTTCGTTATAGTAATGGTTAATCAAAAACTCATGTTTTCATTTCATAAGTTTTTATAAATTTCTCTACCGTGAAACTTATTTAAAAATAGTTCAATATTTAAATTTATGTGTTATATTTTCTAAAAAGTCACATATTTGTCTCGAAATATATATGAAAAAAAATCTTATTATGTCCAAAAGGGCGAAAACAGAGAGTTAAAATGGAAATAACAAGAAAGGGACAATTTGAGAAATTTTTTTATTATTTTTTTTTTCCAAAGAATTTATTTGAAAGTTGTTTCATAATGAAATATCGGAAACATATTTTCGGAAAATATACACATATATATGTCGAAATATTTACAAAACATTTGATAAAACTTATTTTGCCCATAATACACAAAACCACACAAAGAAAAAAAAATCCGGTAAAATTACCATACCGTAATAAAATTTCTGTTAAAAAAACATAATTTTAGTAATAAAAGCCAAAAAATTTGGTACTTAAACCATTCATTTCCACGTTCCTATAATAAAGGTTTAACCGAAATTTTTGTTTCCAAATTTTTTGTTCTTCTTACCACACATTTAGTAAAAATCCATCATTTAAATTAAATTTATCAGAAAAATGGTTTTCACACCTTGTTGTGAAAATTCACGATAAAATAACAAGATTGTTTTCCGCAAGCATCATTCATTTTGCCATTTATTTAGTAATTTTTAAGGGTTAGATGGTTGTGTCTTTTACCAAATAGAATAACAATAGACCTTATTATTCGATTAATCATGTTTATTTAAAACAGCAGTTTATTAAAATAGTTAATAGCACTTAGAATGAGGCTAATTTTTCATTTCTTAATATATTTTTAAATTATGACTGAGCAAAAAAGGACCTAAATGATGTTTTCGACTGTTTATTTAATGAGTTCTAAAGATACTAAACTTTGGATCAATCAAGCTAATGTGACTGTATTATCCTTCGTTTAATGGGGTCGAATGATTTATTTACTTTTGTGCATATGCGGGTTTGTTGGCAAATACAAAAACAGCCTTATAACTCTTGTCAATCTAAAGACCAAATATCACAAGTTTAAGAAATACAGCACGAAAATACATGCAGTGTTATACCGCTCCCTTTGAATCGGTTTGACCAAACGGCGTGTAAAATCCTTGATATCACAATAAATATTAACATTAGTGGGACCTCCGTGGCAGAGCAGTATTGTCCTTGTGTCAAAGGCTCTGAAATGTGGATGTTCCATATACTCACTTATACACATAGTTTTTTTTAAATATTTAATTATCTTCAGCAAATTAGCGTTTGATAAAAGACTAACAAAATATTTATCACAGTTGAAACAAGGTGATATGAATATAAAATAATATTTTATGGATTAATTAAATAATTAAAAATTTAATAAAAAAAATTGTTTATAAAATTTAAATATATATANTTACAGAGTCTTATGGAAACATAAAAGTGAGGGCTCTATGTTTTATAAACATCCAAAATGACATAAATATTCATCAAGTAAAATTTCATTCTATCTATTGAAGTGTAAGTTACCAAAATGAACCCATTTTAATCATGCATAAGTTACAGTTAATTAGCAAATCTAACGCTCGCGCACTCTAATACAAACATTAAATGCAGCTCTCATTTTCTTTTGTGTGTGTGCTTGACGATTCTTACAATCGTCGATTGCGTGTAAAAACATTCCAGTTATTATGAATAAGGAAATGATTTCGAAGTAAAAGGGGAATTTTAGGTTGATTTCCTGTTTTTTTCGGGGGGAAATTTGCATAAATCAAAACTTTGTTTATCTTAAGAAATAAGCAAAAACTAAAATTCTTTTATTTGCTTTTACAAATTTTGATTGAAGATAATTCGTACATATTTAACGTTTAAGTTTATATTTAAAATGATCGAGTTTTAAACAAATATTTATAAATTAATAATTTAACTCTGCCTTATTGAGTTTTTAAGTAAATGCTTATAACTCAAAATTAAGTTTAATGTTTAGAACTCAAAAAATTACTTGAGTTCTAAGCATTAAATTCTAGTTCGATATTTTATTTTACAGAAATTTTTGATTCTACATTTAATACAAATTAATTTATGTTATATTTTTTACTTAAAATATCAGGTCACATTTGCCACAGCCAAGAAAAAAATTCAAAATAATGTCTGTTTTTATTTATTTATTTTTCAAAGGAGCTGTTAACATTTCAAACTTTAACAAAAGTAGCTATATTTTTAAACTTGACTCTTTAAGATTTTACACGCATTGTATCTATATTACTAAAAGATAATTTTTAAAGTGTTAAAAAGGAGTATTTATGTTAAGTAAAAACTAAAAATATTTTGGTTATTTTAGTTTTAGTTCTTTTAAGGTTTTTTTTTTTTTTTGCCGAACATCATTTTCAATGTTTAGTTAATATTTTAAATTCAATTCAATGTTTAGTTAACATTTAGAATTAATTTTGAAAATATGTTCTATTAAGCCTTTATCGTGGTGATTTTTAAATTAGGAAGAAAAAATAATAATTTCAACAGTCACTGTCAGCAAATTACACCAGGGAACAATTATTTATTTATTAATTATTCTGTTGCATTAGATTTTTTAGACGAATCTTAGATATTTTCGAGTCGCTGATTTTAAACCTGAAATTGATTTCTTTTTACAAACTGCAGTTCTCATGTAATTTATTCCTAAACCGGATTTTTTAAAGATCCCTCGAGTGAATACTAAGTGCCCCCACTTCTCTGCTACTTAAGGAGTGGTAGAAGAAAGGCGATAATACATTTCAGTTTAAGATGGGAAACGTTAATGCCATAAAATTTTTGTCTTAAGGAGGTTTTTAAAGAAGCAGACAAGGGTATATGGGTGATTCTCACGAAACATGACAATTTACTGTCCTTTGCTCCAGGATCTAATACTATAATGCTAAAAGAAACTTTTTTTAAAAAAAAATTATAAATAGCATTGCTGTTAGCATTTTAAAATGACTTTGCACGAGCATTGACTGTATTGTATACTTAAAAAATTTAATTGAATATCAGAATGTCATTTTCCTGTCATGTCCCAAACAATATTTCCAATAATAACTAGCTTCAAAACTTCCCATACATTTTTCAAAATCTAATTTTTTTATCTTATCCTATGTAAGCATTTCTAGAATATACGCAGAGGGTATTGTTCACTAAAACTTCGTTTAAAATTTTTTTAATAATTTGTTTGTCCCATGAAAATCAGTCATTTTCCTGGCTGCTTTTATTTAGTGATTTATAACCAAAATAGATAGCGCCAGAAATCAATATCTCATGTTAATAGATTGATTAGATACCCTCGTATATGAACATGCCTTGTTACATGAATAAAGAACTAATTTTCTGGCTCAAAATCTATTTCAAAAAATTTTTCAAGGTGAGTAGGTTTTAATACTGTCATTTTCCTGGCTTCTTGAAATCATTAATAACAAAAACTACAAAGATTTATCTGAGTTATTTTAAAAAATACTGTTGTTTTCCGCAGAATATAAGCGTCTTAGGCCAAAATATTAAATTAAAGTAAAGTTATATGCTATAAAATGGCAAATTTGTCACTATCCTGGCTGTCATTTTCCTGGCTTATGAATGCCAGGACATTGAAGTGATACCAGAAATTCCTTTCAACTGCTAATACTGTAAAGAGGGAAAGCAAATATTAACCTAATACCAAGTTTATGTTTGATTTTAATTATGCTTGGATGTAATCAAAGTTATTTATTTATTTAATGATTGATTATAATACAAAATTTTATTCTGTACATATCAGCAACAAAAATTTTTTTGTTTCTTTCTACAGTGGATAAAAGGAATTAATTTAAGCAATTTATGGTCCATCCAACATAAAGGCTTAAGTTGAGTTGTTTACTATTAACGTAAAATGACTGTTTTTTAAACTTCTAAGGTAATATGTCATTTTCCTGGCATTCAAGATTTGGTGAATTACTATTTAATTTTTTTTTCTCGAGCAAATGTCAATAAACTATGCTGCTGTGTATAAGATATTAATAAGTGTAGCTAAAAAGTACACGAAAAAATTTTAGATCATTTTGAGGACTTTAAATTTGAAGAAATTTTTTGGTCCGAATTGTCATGTTTCGTTAGAATCACCCATATATACTGTAATATGCAAAACCACAAAATCATTAAAAAAAATGTTTGAAACACACAATAATTTTTATGTATTAGAAATCCCTTTTTCCGCAAACTAATAAAGAAAACCATAATAATTATGTAAGCATGTAACAAAGTAAAAGCGAATTCATAATTATTGTATTAAGACTACTGTATATATAATATAATAATATCTATAATACTATATGCAATAATATTAGGAATATAATTAAGAATTGTGATAGTGAAATTATTATGTTGCATATTACATTTTAATTATTCGATATGGGGTAACTATATGTAAGAAATATATTGTATAAATATAAATTTAATGAAAAAAGATGATTAATTTAAAAAATAATTAAGATTTTTTATTGCAACAAAAATTTTAAAAAAATGGCTCAAACTGAACTATTGAAACTGTCATCAAATTAACGAAAGACTCATTATTGAACTGTGCTTCAAATTCTTATACAAGCAAAATAATAAAGTGAATTTTGAACAACAAGTTAAAAATTTAATCTGATGTCAGATAGAAAACGTTTCAAAATTAATTTAACCTATGTCATGTCATCGTGTATGATATTAAAAGTTAATACAGTCAAAAATTGGCCTGGAAAACCCTTGCAGACAATTTTTTAAATTTTTTTAGGCTTATAAATTCATTTATTCTAAGTATACGACATTTCAGATTGACTTCTGTACATAATTAGTGGAGCAAGAATTATATGCGTCTGTTTAAAATCTATTTTTAGAATCTTTTGAGCTACTGAATTTCAATGAAAATGTTTTTATTTAATAATAAAAATACTGTTTATTCTGAAGCCTATAATTGAAAGAAATTTTCACACTATATCTGTGCATATATTGGAATTATTACTAAAATAATCAATGCTTACCTTTCACCGAGACCTGACGAGACAACTCAAGTGATTTCGAATCTTTTATTTATATCTATTTTAATGTATTATCTCACTGACGTAATAGTATCAGTCCTTTCACCAAAAATAATTTTTTAAGATATTTTTTTTCAGCAAATCAGCAATAATCAAATATGATAGTTTTTAACAAACATATCTCCTGTTTTTTTTTCATGTTAACGAAAGAAAATCGGATAAAAATTATCATGGTTTTTTAAAAAAAGAGTTTTGTAATGATTATAAATAGCACATAAATATATCTAATCTCTTAGTTTTATTAAATATTTAAATTTATATGACTCGTATAAATTTAAATATTTAATAGAACTAAGAGCTAATGGAAGAAAAATTAGCTAAGTGACATTCTAGTGAGTAAAATCGTGTTAAAGTTGATACGTTTCTCCTTTTTGTATTTTCGCTCAATTTTTATGTGTTTAGTATGTTTGTGAGCTTGACGCCCGGTGGCTGAACGGTAGCGCTTCGCGCTGTTGTGCCACAGGTCCCTGGTTCGATCCTCGGACCGGGCAAGGCCTTTCATCCCTTCAGTGGGTCGATAAATGAGTACCAAGTTCAAACTTTATTAATTATTCAAGTTTAGTTCAAACACTGGGGGTTCCACGTTTGGCTGACCACCTGACCGGAACATCTGCTCCTGCACTCCAGAGCCCAAGGTCAAGAAAACTGAGGTGGGCACAGTAGGCCTTGGCCCTCTATGGGCTGTCGCGCCGCTGAGTTTTTAGTTAAGTTTAGTATGTTTGTGAAGACATAACTCGCAAAATGTTTGGATTTATTTGATTCTAACTCTTTCAGAAAGGAGGATTTTAAGGAATTTTGTACATAACATTTGGTTGTTTTCACGGATGATTCTTAATGTTTTTCAACGAAAATAATTTTATTTGATAATCTAGGTTTATAAATGTAAAATAAAATACTAGCAACATTAATTTGGAACAAACAGGCATCAAATTTTGACAGTCAAAAAGCCAATCAAAAACGATTCAGATGCAGCATGAGCTTTCGCGGAAAAGATGTTTCACCGGTATGTATCGCTTTAGTGAGAATTCAGAAATTTTTGATTTTAAAAAAGTATTATTTTAAATAGCACTGAATATGGTCAACATGTTACGTCATTTCGTTACATATAAAGACATATTTTAAATTAAGGTATTTTATTAGTTTTAATACAAAACTATCTAGGTGTTGTTGTCGAAATGAGTAAGTTATTTTAAATTTTTCAATAAAAATTGGGAGTTTTGTGCAAAAATGGCACTTTTTAATTTATGAAAATGTTTATAAAACAGTTTTGGGTATTTTTTTCTACTCGAACATTTAATTAAGTATTTAAAAAATATTGTGAATTAAGTATCTAAAAGTCATTAGGTGAAATAAAAAATTACAATTACTAGGTTAATTATAATTTACGAATATTTCTACAATAAATTTTTAAATAAATAAAGTTCTAATAATCAAAATTTTGTTATGCAATAAGAAGATTCATATTAGAATTACGTAATATTCAAAATTTTAAAATAGAATTCTTATACTCATTTAAATATTTGCTGTTAAATTCATAAACAAATTAATAATTACTAAAATAATTGCATAATTGATTTTGCATCTCTAGGTCACATAACTATAGGAAACTAAATGCATGTGTAAATATTATAAGTATGATTAAATTTTTGTTATTAAGTGCAGGAACTTGTTAGTGTGTTTGATGGATCATTCAGAAGATCAACTTAATTTTAGAAGGCTGAAAAAGCCGACTACAATGATTTCCATATTTTTAAAGTGCTATTTTAATGACCAACAGCTATCAAAATTTTCGATTTTGATGACTAATAGTTATCGAAAGTTTCGAGCAATGGCTCTAGGGATTCTAAAGCTTTGCCTCAAGAATATAAAAGACTGCTTAAAATGGTTTCCCAACTTTTAAAGTGCTGTTTTGGTGACCCAAAGTTATCGAAATTTTCCATTTTGATGACTAATAGTTATTGAAATTTTCCATTTACATGACCAACAGTTATCGAAATTTTCGAGTAATGACTCTACGGATTCTAAAACTTTTACTCAAGAGTATAAAAACTGCTTATAATGGTTTCCTGTTTTTAAGGGGATATTTTAATGACCAGCAATTATCGAAATTTTCCATTTTGATGACTAATATTTATCGAAATTTTCCATTTTCATGACCATCAGCTATTGAAAATTTCCAGCTATGGCTCGAAGAATTCTAAAGTTTTGCCTCAAGAATAAAGATTGTATAACTAGTAATTATAAATTTGATCCTCTTATATTCTGTGTAATTCTTCATACAGATTTGTAAAAGATTTTCAAATTTTGTTTTAGAATATGCTGCAGTTTTAAATATTATATGTTTAGTATATATATTTACGAAAAAATAATTTATGTAAAATTATTTTATTCTTTGTCATTCTTCTCATGCTTTTATTTTCAAGCTTTTTTATTGCAATTATAAGATAAATAACAAAAATACAAATAGAATGAACTAAAAAAAAATATATATATATATATTTTGAAGTTTGCTTCTGAACTTTAAGTTCATTTTTCAGTTTTGTATGAATAAGATAAGACCGAAATTCGAAACTATTATTTTTTCGAATTAAATCTTTGAATCAATAGATTGGAAAAACTATTCACTCATTTAAACATTTATGATCTTTATAAATTATAATTAGTTCATTAATCAGTGAACTAATTCTATATTATTAAAATTAACATTAGCTCACTAATATTGGAAATATTCATGAACATATAAACAAGAATGCTGAAAATTCTCAGAGCCCAATGAACAAAGTTTTTTTTTGGATCAGAATTTCCCCAAAGATTTGAGCTTTTTTTAAAAAATATATATATATTCTTTGAAAAATAAAGTTTACATAAGAAAAATTTTCAGTTGATTTTACACAATTCTTGAATAAACGAGCACATGTGACATAAAATAATAGAAATCAAAATATATTAAAATAATAATAATTTATTCAATTAAATTTNATATATATATATATATTATTGTGTAGTCCTCAACAGACTGTTAAGCCAAAGAGTAGAGTTACCAGAACGGTAAAAAGAACTGGCTCCTTAAGTGGAGCATGCGTAAAATCCATTTTTACAGTAATTTTTGCAGTTTACAGTTTATTACGGAGTTTCACTAAATATTGTCTTAAATACTATCGTCCCAAAACTATCGAAGAAAGATCGTCCCAATAATTTGGTCAGGAAAGCTTAGACCCCTCAATGTTAATTTTACTTTTTGTGTATTTCACCTTATCAAACTTTTTAAGCGAATTGAAAACTTTTTGCTCACAGCTATAAAGTTCGTTTATCCAGGGATAATTCCAAGCAAAAATACATTTTTTTTGCAAATATTTATTATTTTTTAATATTCTATTTGATAATAATCGAAAAAAACCTTGAATTGTAATGTATAAAATTTTTTACGTCATTTCTTACTAAGCAAAATTTAAAATATTAGCGAAATCGGTTGAATAGTTCCTGAAAAATCGAATTTTAAAAAAGTCATATTTTTAAAATTTTGATTTCTCAGGAACTATTTGACCGATTTCGCTCAAATGTTATATTTTGCCATGTAAAATTGCATTCTATAAAATGATGTAAAAACTTGTATACCTTACAATTCATAATTTTGTTGACTTTTCTTAACTAAAATAATGAAAAAATAACAAATATTTACAAAAAGTTATTTTTTGCTTGGATAAATGAATTTTAAAATTGTGTACATAATTTTTTTCAATTAGCACACAAAGTTCTTGAGATATGACGAAATATACAAAAAGTAAAACTAACATTAAGTGGTCCAAACTTTGGACAGCACTCCTGACAAAACTATTGGGACCATATTTCCTAGATTGCGGCTACCTTCTATATTTTTGATGTTAAAATCTCAATCCGTCGAAAAATGCATATATTTATTCAGAAAAAGTACGTTTTCGTGTCTGATTTCATAACTTAAGTTATTGCCTGCGTTAATTAATTAGGATATTTGAGGTCTCCCCCATTGAGATTGATTCCTAGAAAGCTAAGATCTGATAATTAGATCAAAAGTTATTTAGGGTGGTCCGTTTATTTATTTAATTTGCTCACTGTATATATTTCAGTCAATGCAATGAAGAACAATGCGTGGTGTTCATTACAATACTTAAACAATCGAATTTGTCATTTATATTGCATTTTTTGTAAGGAGGGATACTTATTTCATTTTTTAGTAAAACACTCTATATATATATATTCACTGATTTAAAAACCAGTTATTATTTGATAATGAGGTGAAAGTTTATTTCGTAAAGAATTTTTAATTACTCTCATGACAAAATAATTATATGTATCTTAAGTTAAATTATAATAACTATATTCATAAATTTAATTAAGAATAAAAATTAATTAGCTGTAATTTATTATGCTTTGCTTAATGTTAATATGTAAAAATTATGTTCTGCTTCAAAAATCTGTGTAGTTTCGAAAAGATTCTTTCACGAGTTTGAAAAATCAATTTTAATCACAAATCCCCAAATTGTCGTACGATCGCCAAATAGCAACCTTGTTCAGGATCATTCACATCCTTCCTCAAAAATAACGAAATAGTATCATCGGATATCACGTGATGAAGGCGGAGCCAAGTGCCAACTCCTGGTGGACGAACTATATATCTTTCTGCTTCAGTTTCTTGGGTTAATTCATTTAATATTCTAACGATTGTTGAAGGGAATGGACTTTGTTGAGTATTTAGTTAATGTCCTTTATATGAATATTTAAAATAATAATATAAATATTCAAAAACTGAAGTTTTAAATAAAAATTCAACTACTCCGTGCTAGATGTATAAGTAAAATTGTAGTTTGAATTTGTTGGAAGTAACGAGTCTGTTAGTATACAATGACATATTTTATGATATACAATATTACATATTCGTTTTCTGTTAAATACTGCTCCTAATATTTTGAATGAACTCAAATATTATTACTGTACTAACTGCTTTAATTTGAAATGATTCACTTATGAAAATAATTTTGCAAACCATGCAACACCCACAGATCTCAAGGCATTTAAAGATTACTAACAAAAAGTACTAGCAAAAAATTATCTGATTTTTTCCGGAAAAAGCATTGTTTTAGTAAATAATAGCACTTTTCCTAGATTAAAAATGTTTATATTCTCATTAACAAATATTCAAAACATCTATACTGTTATGATTCCAAAATAAGTAACAGTAAAAAATTCAAATCAAATCAAATTCTATTCTTTAAAAAAAAAAAAAAAGCTGCATTTGTGGTGAAGAAAATAAATAAAACTTAGTAGCACAAGTGATGTATTTGCTAAAAAATTTAATAATTTTTTATAAAATATAATCTGGTACAAAAATTAAGTAGAAATAATATTTAACAATAATGTTAAGGATAAAGCAATAAAATACTCAGTTAACAAAAAATGTACATATACCATTTCTTACAAAACGAATAAGTATCTGCGTTTCATAAGATAATTTGAAAATATTATGCAAGGAATTGAAGTGTTCCTTAAAACAGAAAACAATGTTCTAAAACAACTTTCACTTTCAAAGCTAAATTACAGGAAAATTTTTCTTACCTATCTCCATTAAAAATATCAAAATAATTCAATATATACGTCTGTTTCATGAATATTTCACTCTGTTACAGGTAATTAAAGTAAATAAAACAATAAATTTAAATATCTGAAACTTTTTTAAAGTAATTTCATCTAAACAAAACGATATAAGAGAAATACAAAAAAGGTAACAAAAACAATAATTTAATAACTAGTTCCATGCTCAAAAAGTGCTTTCGTCTTCTCATTCTCTGTTGTCCAGGTCTTAGTAATGGTTTCATTACTCTTTCTTTGTAAGTTAAAATTGCATTTCTGGCCCCATCCCAGGAATGAGGTCCCTGAAGTCTGTACTGGTAAGAAAGAGAAGGTCCAAATATAAGAGCCCAAAACAGTTTTGGATCAGTGATAGCTATTTTAAGAAGATTTGGTTTGACTCCAATGTCATCAGCAAGTTCATCTTGATATCCTATAAAATCTACTTCAAGTGTATGTCTAGGTGAGCTGACAAATTTGTCGCGAATCCACTCTAGTTTCTTAGCGATATCAGCCATCATCTCTTCTTTAGGTGGAAGTTTCAAGTTACCGGCCATATGCCTAGCTGTCCATCTGCATTGCATTTCACCAACAGGAAAACCAGGACCATTTGGCTGGACTAAACCTAGAATGGCAAGTGTAGGATGCGGTAAATGAGGAGGATATATGAATTTGTAGAGTTGAACTTGATTATCAACCACTCGGACAATATCGTCACTCAGAAAAGGAAATTTCACTTTGTATCCAGTAGCCAAAAATACAGTATCCACTTCTGTTTCTTCCTAAATCAAAAAAATCATTACATAAATATATTTGAAACTTATCAGTTTAGCTACAATAGTTAATTGTAGTTTCTTCAAAATTGATAAAAATTTGTTACTGTATTGTTGGTTTTAAATGTCATGGGAATTTAGGATGAACAATTATATGAGTTATTTTATCCCTCGTGTAAAGTGTTCTCCCTCCTCATGTAACCAGCATCCTCCCTGTTTAATTGTTTCGTACCTACAGCTTAATAATAATCACCATTTATTAGACTGTACTTTAGTAATTTCCTAAGAGAGGAAAGCAAAAAAAAATCTATTGTCTCGCTGTTGTTGCTGAGGAAAGTCAATACATGATCATCATCAGTTATGGATGTTCGCTTTAAGAAAGTTGCATTTGGTGTACATATCTATTTTGAATTATGTTTAAGAAAACTATCTACTTAATTAAAAATAGGCTATTGTCAAGGGGTTCGAAAATCATTTGATCCATAGCAAACCTAGAAGGTTTAACTGGAGACAAACCTCCTCATTTTATTTGCATGCAGAGACAATAACATATTTAGTTAAATAATATAACAATTGTAAAATCACAAAGCAAAAGTCACTACAGTAAAATGAATGGTGGAAAAAGCAAAACAAAAGTATTATAAGTTAGTAGAAAGAAAATAAACATGATTTTCAATATGTCTTTCATAAGCAAAAAAATGTGAAAAACATTTTCATACCAAAAAAATAAAATTGATTTAGCAGAAAGAAAATAAATGTTATTTTCATTGTGTCTTTCACATTCTCAGAAGTAAAACTCTCACTTTTGACGATTCTGCGATTCTTGAGCAGTATTTCGTTAATTTTGAGGATTGTTTCGTCAGGAAATCACGTGATTTGTGACGAAACGCAAACTGGAACATATGACGGAAATGTTTCCTTAACTTGGAGAATCATCGCAGTGCTATGATATGCCATACGAAAAAATGAATTAATTGAATTCATTTTTTCACTGAGGAAAAAATGAATTAATTAAATTTAGAAAGACTGGAAAACGATACTAGAATGAAGACTAGACGATCGAAGCTAACTAACCGGTTTGTATGATGGTAAAAGAGTCAGCATCATGTCAGGAAGATACCGTGTTCGAATCCCGCTTCGGGCATGTGTGCACTTTGCTTCTCCATTCTATCTATCCCTCTTTTGCTATTGGGGTGACATTGATTCACCTATATGGTTCCCATGAGATAGTGATTAACTATGCCACCGGTAGATTTTTTTTTGTTGAAATATAAAATGGAATGACTGAAGATTTCCTTATTTATGAAATCCATTTTCTCACAGAAGTGGCGATAATTATTTCGTCACTTTGACAAAATGTTCCGTTGGAGCATAGACCACAAAACTGTTTCGCCAAAAACGAAGAAAATTTCGTGAGATTTAGGTATCCATTTTTACAGTGTAGTAAACATAAAAATGTTGATAATTATTCTCACGCTAAAAAGGTATCAATTGACAATTTTTCAAAACTAGCAGATTCTGAAATTAAGATACAAATAGAAGATTTGAGCATAATAAAGTAAGTCTACTACTAGACAAGCGAAAAAAAGAAAATATTTAATGGTAAGGTTTATTTTTATTCAATTTTTAAACAGCGTGAAACAGTCGATTCATTTTCGGGTTTATGGTTATCAATGGTCAACATCCTGATACTTAAAATCCAGCCCAAAAGGCAAGGAAACACTTGATTCAAGTATGGGAACAAACTAGCTTTCGTGGGGATCTTTTTGATGGAATTAGCTCACATTTGAGTTACATATGGAAAGGAAAACTACGAAAACACTTGGAGGTTTTGACACTCATTTTTTTTTCGTCACAAATTAAAAAAACACGATCCAATGGGTGGTGTTGTCACTACAAATGAAAACAACAACAATGTCGAGCTCTTGAAATGACAACAATATAGAGCTGCTTATTTCAGCTTGTTCTGCTAGGCGACATTTTCAAACAGATAATTTTATTTTTAATAAAAGAAATAAATTATATAATTTCTGAGCTCAAAACTGCTGTATTTCATGAGATATTAATGATATTTAGTAATTCTGGTGAGTTTGAAGAGAAAATTTGCTTTCGTTATTTATCAATGTATTGTTAAGAAAAATTAACATGGTTGCTAGATTCAGAAAGAACTCGCTTTTTTGGCAGTTCAGATTTTGCCTCTTTTTTCTTATTTATCAGCAGGGCCGTTTTATCCATTAGGCACTGTAGGCAACTGCCTAGGGGCCCCGCCACGTTCAGGGGCCCTGTGCTACAGAGAAAAAAATTGACAATGCTTCTTAAACAGTAAAAATTTAATTCGAAATTTCAATGACGATTGTCTTGCTCTGTACATTACATCGACGCTATTTTAGTACATTTCTGAAAGCATTCCAAATTAGATATTAATATTATGGTAGTTAGTTCATATATAACGCAGTAATATAATCGCAAGCAATTTTATCGCGGTAATTTTAACGCCGACTAATCAGATGACTATACAGCAAGAGCAGCTTTTTTAACACAACACGCTTGAAAAACGCGCAAAATTCTACGTTGTGAATGCACACTTACTGTTCTGGTACCTACCATAGGTAGGTATATTCTATGGCCAAGCTACCAAAGAGTATGTAAAAATAAGGTTGGCAGTACTGGTTCTTTCGTCGCATGACTGGGGAATTCCCCGATCGGATCGGGGAATTCCCCAGTCATGGCCGATCCGCTAAATACATACGTTGTATTGAGTCATAGACAACATTTTTGAAACATTTTTAATGTAATCGTTGAATTTTCACTTCGTGCAATTTGTTTGCGAGTTTTACAGTTTGTGTTTCAAAACTTACGAATTTAGAGCTAAGTATTGGATATTTACTTATAAAGACTGCAGAAGTGCTTCGGGCTTAAATAAGGGCTAAGTTAGAAGAGTTAATATTTAAGCTTATTGTATGATTTTTTTAAAATGCATATATTAATTACTTATATTCTTTTCGTTTGATTCAATATTTTTATTGAATAATGTGATAATATACCTATGTAGTAAAAAACAGCGTAATTATGAATAAAGTGTTGTGTTAGCGAAAAAATATATTAGGAAGTTAGAAGACGGTAGGGGGGGGCCGAGACGAGCATTGCCTAGGGGCCGCGACATGCATAAGCCGGCCCTGTTTATCAGTTCTTGTTACTGTTCTGCCGTGGCTTCAAAATACTTCGGAATGCGTAACCTGGATGTGTAGGTAGTTCAGAGCGTGCAGCGCACTCTAGTGTAGGAAACACCATCCATAGTTTTACATAAAGAACATATCCTGAAAATTTCAATAAAATCGAAAATATCCAATATCAAAACCTTTTTTATCTGCCTGATCAAATCCACCAAATCAAAATGTTTATTATTTTCCTGAATCTTAAAAAAACTGGTTTTTAAGTGAAAATATTAAAGTAACTAAAACAGGATGCAGAGGTGTTTAATAATACGATTCACTCCATCCCCAAATTATCCAACATCCCTGCTCCAGTGGGTAAGGAAGGTTTTTTCTTACTAGACTGTATCAAACAAATCTATTTTTATTTTTTTTTGTTGATAAAACATGCATTTCTCAAAATATCTCTGCTTTAAAAAAATTTACGCTACCTTCATTTTGCAATTTCAGCGCCACCTGTGAACCATCAAGTAAAATCGAGGTACTTATTTTTTTACAGAAAATGGAAATCTCATTCTTATTTGCTCTAAGAGGTTTAAAGTTTACATTATTTTCCTAGAATTTAAACAATAATTTGTAAAATAGCGTGCATTTTAATAGAACAAATCTATCACTCACAAAGTTCATTTCAAGGCAATTATCTTATAGCAATGAATAGTGTGCAATAGAATTCATAATTATCATTTCAACTTAAAAACAGGCTTATGCTGATTCCAGCACTTAAAGGACTATACACGGATAAAAAATTTTTTGGTAAAATTACCGTACTGTAATGACATTTCTAGTAAATAAAAAAAACCACAATTCTGGTTCATGAAATTAATAATTACGGAATTACTATTCGGTTTATAATTTTTCTTTTCTCATGGTAAAGGTTTACCGGAAATTGCGGTTTCTAAAATTATAGTTCTAATTATCATATATTTATTAAAAAAGACGAGTCTTAAAAGAAAATTTAATCAAATAAGTAGATTTTATGCAGAGTTCTAAGATATCATGGTAAAATTGCCAACCTTTACTACTTTTACCACATTTTATTTCATATTATAAAACCATATTTTAAATTGAATTTTGTCAAAATCCTTAAAATGCTTTATAAAAATTACCAAACTTTTCGGTGGGTCAATAGAGTCAGGAATCCGATAAATTTTACCATATTCTGATAGTTTTGACCAAATTTTTTTTTTCTCAGTGTAAGATTTTATGCGATACTTATTTAATTTGTCAAGGTTATTTTATAAATCATATTAAGCATTTATAGACTAATTTCTCACCTCTTCTCCCTCGAAGATGACACCTTTTTTTGTAAACTTCTGGATTGTTCCTCTAGTTTTAACTACTCCACTCAGTAATTTAATAGGCAATGTATCACTAACAGTTGGATGTTGACTCCAAATACGATGCTTTGGCTTAAGGTTGTAAATTGAATGATTGAAATTTTTATTGATTTCTTTCTCTGAGAAAGAACAAACCCAATTGAATGGTAAATGTTCCATAAAGAAGTGGAGATAACGCCTTGTAAACGCTGCATCATATGGCAAACCTTTAGGACCAATTCTTGGTATGATCCATGATCCTCGTCTGCTGCTCAAATATACCTGAAAATTATAAAATATAATATTCGTAATTGTAAAAATAAAATAACCGCAACTTTTTAATTTCGAAAAGCTTAAGACTCTCATCTGAATTCAGATATAACAGAACTATATGAGACGAGTATGTTAATAACCGGAAAAATGCGCAGTGTAAATTATTCGTCGAATTAAACCATTTATGTCCTGGCCCAAAAAGTGGTATATGGGTGATTCTCACGAAACATGATAATTCACTGTCCCTTGCTCCGAGATCTAATACTATAATACTAAAAGAACTTTTTTTAAAAAAAAAATTATTAATAGCATTGCTGTTAGCATTTTAAAATGACTTTGCACGAACATTGACTGTTTTGTATACTTAAAAAATTTAATTGAATATCAAAATGTCATTTTCCTGTCATGTCCCAAACAATATTTCCAATAATAACTAGCTTCAAAACTTCCCATACATTTTTAAAAATATAATTTTTTTATCTTATCCTATGTAAGCATTTCTAGAATATACGCAGAGGGTATTGTTTACTAAAACTTCGTTTAAAATAATTTTTTCTGTCAATAATTTGTTTTTACCATGAAAATCTGTCATTTTCCTGGCTAGTTTTATTTAGTGATTTATAACCAAAATAGATAGCGCCAGGAATCAATATCTTATGTTAATAGATTGATTAGATACCCTCCTATCTGAACATGTCTTGTTGCATGAATAAAGAACCAATTTTCTGGCTCAAAATCTATTTCAAAAATTTTTTCAAGGTGAGTAGGTTTTTATGCTGTCATTTTCC